TGTTCTTTTCTTGGCTTTAGGTAGCTTCCTCACACATACATGCTGATCAGTACTCCCCTGGGGACTCAGCTGGGCCCCTCAGCCTGTCTTTAGCACTTTTTTCACTGAGCAGCTCTCTTTTCTCTGGTACACTGACTGCCCTGTGAACTCTAGCTACTTTTTCTTCCCTAGATTGTCACCCAGCTCCTCAGTTGGGGAATCTGAGCCAGGCTTTGCTTTGGTTCCCCCTCCTTGTGCATAAATGCTTAGGTTTCCTGTGTTCCAGGCACAAAGTGCGCAAGTTTCCTATTCTCAGAGAGAACTGTCCCTTTTTTTCTGGTGTCCGGTGTTTATACAAAGCTGTGCTGACCAAGACTAGCATTATGGAATGCCACTCTTAAAATCTGCTCGCAATAGTGTATTCAAGGAAGCTTGTTAGAAAATGTGGGTTTGAGCAGTAGATGGTATAGAAAAGAAAGTAAAGTCATCAGCTGGGCTCACTTTTCTGCCTTTCTCTCTGCCTGGTGGCACCCTGATTATTTTTCCAAGGTACTCTAGTCCCATTGTTACCTGCAAAGCTGCCTTTGAACCCAGATGAGATGAATAGTTCTCATTCTTTATGTTATGTTTATACCTTGTATCCTTTTATACCTTGTATCATGGTTATGATCTGCTTATGTCTGTCAGCTGCAACAAGTCCAACTGGTTATGCTGTGGTTCTGAAAAAGTCTATCACTTTTAGTCTCATTAAAGATCTTCCTCTGAAATTTCTAGATATACCAGCTACTAGCTGGAAATCAGCAAATTATTTTAAAAACTCCGAGTGTCAGTTTCTCTATCTGTAAAATGGAGGTGGAAATATTTGCTGTGTAGGGTTATTATCGTTTGTGTGAAATGTTTAGCAAATTGCCTGACTCCTGCTAGATATTCTGTAGATGTTAGTTCCTTCTTTTATTTATTTTTTGTCTTCAGCACTCATTTCAGTGCAAATCATAGGAATACATGAATGTATGTTGAATTGATTATAAAATTGTAATATGCCATCAAATGGACATACTTAATGCACTATAATATCTGTACATTTGTTATAATAGTGTTTGAACTCCAGTTAAATTTTTTAAAAGAAGCTGAGTAGCTCTTCCTGCTTACATGGCCTAAAGATGCCATTTTGTTTTAATCTACACTAAACAAGCGTCTCCTGGAAGGGTAAACCAGATTGGTTCCATAGAGCCATATAAGTATTTTATGTTAATTTTTAGGAAAACTCCTTTTAATTACCTATCTTAAAAGTTTTTCTTATTCAAAATGCCTATTTCTTATATAAATAGGTGTTATTCATTCTGGTCATTTTGACACTGGATTTTTAAGGAAAAGACCTACATGTCCGTGGGCATCTCCAAAGTATTTATGTAGATCCTTGTAATTACTTTAAAAGTCCTCTTTGCATGTATTTCATCTGTAAGTATTATTACAGTTATTCACTGTGGAGAATGTAGAGGTCCTTATACCATTCTCAAAAAATGAATGTCCCATGATTCCAGTACTCTGTCTTATATGACCAAGTGCTCATTTAGCTCTGGTTAGTGATCATTTAAAAATTGTAGGCAAGAACTTCTGTTGAATTTAAAAATGCTATTTAGTAAATAATGACAAATGTTGATTTAAGTGTATTACAAAATCTTTATGTCTAAGAAAAATAATATTAAACAACTAAATATTAAAAATTCTGGTAGCTAAATAACATTCTAAGAGATGTATCTGTTGTATTGATAATTAGCATAATATTTGAATTGCAAAAAACTCTTCAGTTTCACAAGTACAGTCCTTTTTCACTTAAGTGTGCTATAAAAACCTAAAGGTTTTCAACCCAAATGAATTCTGTTTAGAATTTTGTTTGGAAAATACTTCCCAGATCATGAAGTTTGAATTATATATCCTTTTAAAGGCTGATTTTTTTTTTTATAATTAAACCTTTAAAACTTAAATCTCAAAGATTTAAAGGCATTATTATTGTACTTTAATTTTGCTCAGTGGAAATCTTCTAATCAAGAATATTACAAGTGGGCCTTTACATTTCTCATTGCCATTGACGTTTTGAATGGTGCATGCCTATTAAACTACATCTTGCATGAATGCATGCTAAGTTGCTTCAGTTGTGTCCTGACTCTTTGCGACCCCGTGGACTGTGGCCTGCCAGGGTCCTCAGTCCATGGGATTCTCCAGGCAAGAATACTGGAGTGGGTTGCCTTGCCCTCCTCCAGAAACTACATCTTAGGGTGTGCCCTATATGTCCATTCAAAAAGATACTTTGTGAGTAAGAGCAAAAGCCAAAAAGTTACTTAACATAGATAAAATTTCATTAGTGTAATATTTTAGTTTTTTTAAAAAATATTTTAGTTTTAATTCTATAACATTTCATTTTTTTTTGATATTCACTAGAGTTGTGTATGTTTCTTTCCCTAATAAATTTTCAAAGAGCTTATTAAGTCATAATTGACATACAATAAATGGCATGTTTTTAAAGGATACAATAATAATACAATATTACAGTAATAATACAATATTACAATAATAATACAATAATACTGACATAGGTTTACATCTGTGAAATCACCACCACAATCAATATAATTAACATTTCCATCACATCCCCAGTGTTCCTCCTCCCTTTTTTATCTCTCCCTGCCATCGCTGTCTTAATCTGTCCCTTCTTGAGAAAACTGATTTGCTTTGTGTTGCTATAGATGAGTCAGCTTTTTTTAGGGTTTTTTTATACATGGGATCACACAGTCTGGTACTCTTTTTTTTGAGGGGTGGAGGGTATTACTTCTTTTACTCTGTATAATTATTTTAAGATCCATCTATTTTTTGGTGTGCATAGATAGTTTGTCTTTTTTATTGCTGAGTACTATTTCAATATGCAGATGTGCCAGAATTTGTCCATTCACCTAATGATGGTCATCTGGATTCCTTCCAGTTTTTGGCTGTTTCTAGCTACAGTTTCTAGCTGTTATGATAGAGCTGCTATAAACATTGTGCGTGTGTGTATGTGTGTTTTTTGTGTATGTGTGTGTGCGTTTAAAAATTATTTCATTTTTAATTTTTACTACTTACTGGCAATCATGACTGTTGATTCCTTATCATATAGCAGTATTTTTATGCACCTTCCCCAGCAACTTTATAATTAGGGAAGACTAGGAAAACATCTTACTTTAAACCCATTTCCTACATTTTACCCATTTTATTCATTCGAGGTATTGATTATAGGAAAAGAAGATCTCATTTTGAATTTTGAGATCCTCACAGTCTGGCTAGCATTATCTCACTTTCTGTAATATCACTAAATAAAAATTTTAAATGTAACTGAGTTTAAAGCCTGTAGTCCTTAATTAACCAAAGAGCTTATGCAAATACTTTCTTCACTATAATGATGTTATGATGAATATTTTTCTAAAGAGAATAAATGTTTTCTAATGACCATATCTTATTTCCAGAAGTAAGTGTGGCAGTTGAAATCTTAGTTATCAAATTTTCTTTAAACAAGAAAATATAGAAAGGAGCCCGTAATGCAATACTTCAAAAGGAAAATTGAGACATTAACTTGTAATTTTTATCATTTGGAAGATTTTACTGTTATTTTTATATACTTTTTTATTTTTTAAATCTTATTACTTTATAGAGTTGACTTTTAAAAGGAATGCTTTATTTATTTTGGCTGTGCCATGCAGCTTGTGGGATCTTAGTTCCCTTACCAGGGATTGAACTTGGGCCCTCGGCAGTGAAAGCACCCAGTCTTAACCACTGGACTGCCAGGGAATTTCCTAAAAGGAATGTTTAATATACAATAAAATTTCAAGCTTCTGAAAAANTAGCTCAGTTGGTAAAGAATCTGCCTACAATGCGGGATACCTGGGTTCAATCCCTGGGTTGGGAAGATCCCCTGGAGAAGGAAATGGCAACCCACTCCAGTATTCTTGCCTGGAAAATCCCATGGACTGAGGATCCTGGTAGGCTACAGTTCATGGGGTCACAAAGAGTCGGACACGACTTGAGTGACTTCACTTAGCTTAGCTATATGTGTATGAACATATACCACGGCACATGCACATATATAAAGCACCATTCTAAGACAGTAAAAACTACCTGTTTATGATATATAACTACGTTAAATTTATAGTCTATTAAGAATGGAGTTTTAATCTTTAGGTAGTTTCTTCCTTTTTTCCTTCAGTTTGGCTGCCCTGGGTCTTCATTGCAGTGCACAGGCTCTTTGTGGCGCACAGGTTTTACTCTGGTTGTAGCACGTGGACTCAGAGTTATGGCATGCGGGTTCTCTAGTTGCATTGTGCAGGTTCTCTATTTGTGGCATGCAGGCTTAGTTGCCCTGTGGTATGTGGAATCTTAGGTCCCTGACCAGGGATTGAACCTGCATACCCTGCCTTGGAAGGCAGGTTCTTAACCACTGGACCACCAAGGAAGTTGTTAGGTCGTTTCTTTTAGAGTGTTCCTAATGTTATTTACTTTAATGGCAAATATATAACTTTGACACAATACATACACAGTTCTATCTATTGGTGTGTTTTCTTAAAAGGCACTGTATTACAGTTTTCTGTACTGAGAACTTTTATTATGGGTGAGATAAGGGGGATATAATTTGTTTCCTGATAGAATCTAGGTGTTCAAATATTAATAATTTTAAATAGGTCATCTTTTTATGCCGAGTTATTATTTTAGGATCATTTGTGATATCATCCAAATTTTTTGCTTGCATTTTATTATAGTTTAAAGCTAATTTGGTCAAAGGTCTTTTGATGTTCTTTCTATGATTGTTAATTTTTTCTATTATGAAGAACATAATAAATTTTGTATAGTACCAGAATACAGACAAATTTTGGTTATTTTTATTCTCCTTCACTTCTTTATCTTTTTCATCAGTAGAAAGCTTTATTTGCTAGGCTAAAATATAACCTAAAATTATGATTTAAGCTAAGTGAAAAGCTAATACTAATTTTTTCTTTTAGATCTCTATAAAAATGGACTCCAAAGAGCTAATTTTGTCCCATTCATAGCTGTCCTGAAGGTAAGAAAAATCACTTACTTGTGTTCAGTGACTAATATCATATTGATTGGTAATTAAGGACTTTTACAGGATCACTATGGTCTTACATACAAGCAGAATTTATTTTGATATTTATAGTAATAGTTAAAGATACTAAAGAAGAAAGAAATCTTTTTTATATAGTGTTCATCAATTTGTATGCAGGAAAAACTGCAAAATATGGTATAAATTATTGTCTAGCTGAAACATTTGATAGTTTGCATTTTATGAATTTTAATTTGAGGTTTTCTCATAAATATTATAGTGGAATGTTTGAACTTATACATTGATTTCTGAAAAAATATTTAATGTTCCTTGTTTCCTTCCAGTTAATGGCCATTAACATGTTTTCCCAGCTATTAAAGTTGCTATTTCAGAGTAGCATTATTACAAAAATATTCTAATATATTTAAATGTGATTGCCATCAAGTTATCATGAAATCATGTCAAGTTGAGGCACATAGTTTAAATATTTGTGTGTATCATCACTACATAGAGCTTAAAATAGTCTTCATTACTATATGATTAAGAATAAAGTAGCCACCTTTTTCACTGTTAATTTTAATAATTTTTAATGCTATTATTTAATTATTATGCATTCTACCAATATTTATTAGGAACCTACTATGTGCAAAGTGCTACATTAGGTACAATGGACAATATAATCATTAAGCAAGTTGTGTTTCTTGCAAGTCACTTATAATCTAGTTGGGTATATACTATGTACCCAAATACCTCTAACACAAGGCAGAATGTGATAAGTATCAAAAGGAAGCACATATACCCAAATATAATTCCTGTAATTCTCAGGCACATTTTTCACTGTCCATAAAAGCATATCCAAAGAAAGTATAGAACTGTGTTTTTTTTTTAAAGACATAAAACTCAAAAATTCTTACCGAGAAGGAGGAGTAAAAGCATTTATCTTCAAGTACTCTGAAGATGCAGCCAGACAATCTTTTTGAAACATACTTCAGTGGGAGCTATTGTTAGTGCCAAACTTTATTCCCTGTGCTGTCCAAACATCTGTTTCCTTGACCAGTTTTAGGTTCCCATAGGATTTTAATTTCTCTGAGATATTTGTAGATATAGGAAAAATTACTTTTTGAAGATTTATGCTGTTAATAATTTTTTCCCCTTTATAATCTTATTTTACACTTGAGGAGAAGGTAGATTTGCAGTATTTTCTCCACCTGGGAATTCAAAGTAATGTGGTGTATGTAGATACCAAAATATAAACAGGGAAGCTAAGAAAAATAGATGCTAAAAATAGTTTCTTCATGTAGCATAAAACACACAAAGTATAAAGAGAAGGCTCACAGAATGAAACAAAAGGTTCTCAGACATCTTTGTAGCTGTACATTTTTTTAAACCCCAAACCTTAGTTTTTGTGATATTTTAACATATCATTGCTAATAGGCAACAAAATTGGCCAGGTTGAGTTTAATTCCTTCCCTTTCCTACCCTTAATTTTTTTTTTCTTTTTGTTATTCGGAAACTCAGAGCCATATTTTTCCATAGATACAAAAATATAAGTGGAATAACTGTAAAAAAGAAAAAAGAAAGCAGTGATGGGAATGTCTTTCTCTCCCATGTTTAGAGGATTTGTTAAGTAAATTATAGTATAGTCACATGAGGGGATATAGTATAGTTATTTAGAATGACATTTTCAAAAATTGTGTGATAATGTAGAATCATGCTCAAGGATAATATGAGTGGAAAAATACAATGTAAGTGTATTTATTACTTTTCTTGGAAATAACATATATACATAGAAAATACTGAAAATAAATATCCCTAAATGTAAACAGAACTTTTTTTCTGAATGATAAGATTATGGATGATTAAAATGATCTGTTTTAGACCTTTCAAAGATTTCTGGAATGATATTGAATTATTTTTATAATAAAAATTGTTTTTAGTATAAGTAAATTTTCATCCATCCTTCCTAGAAAATCAGCAGACCTGAATAAGACTACCCATATTCAAAACTGAGAAATCAGCAGAAGGTAAAATGAACTGAACATGAATCCATGTAGAAACTATTAAAAAAATGAAATGGCAGCAATAAGAAGGAAGTAGCAGGGGTAGATGGGGGAGAGGTAGGCATGAACTAAACAAGTAAAAACACATGAAAACTTGCTTTAGAAGAATTATCCCAGGAAATGGGAGATTTTTTTCAGTTAAAACTTTGCTATATTTTAAAAGAAACTAAAGTCATGGTACCAATGAAATAAGAAACCGGAGATGAAAAGCGTAAGATTAGATGAAAAATAAGCTGGCAGAGCTAAGAAAAGACTGAAGACAGGCCCGTTAAAAAGTGAAAAGCATCTTACTTAAAAGTAAGTCAAAGAATCAACACTACTGAAAATAAAACCAGTGATAAAGAGATCAGACTTATGAAAAGAAATCACACAAAATGAAGCCAAAATAGTCAGAAATTAAAAACTATTACAGAGAAGGTGTTAGTGTGGAAACTAGACAACAGATCAAATATTCACATAATTTGTATTTCTAAAAGAGAAAATATAAAGATAAAATAGAAGAATAATGTGCTTTTCTGGTGTAAAACTGAACTTAAAGGATAGAGAATCCTACAATTATATAGAAGAAGAACCAATGGGGGAAAAATCAAGCTAGACTGAGAATTTTTCACCTAACGTTGGTTCTGTGATAGTGTAGAATAGTTTTTACTATATTGAAAAAGAATATATGTGCCCTCTTGTCAGCTGCACTGTTATGAAAATCCAAGCCCAAAATGTGTATTTGGGATATATGGTAATTCAGAAATTGCAATCCTCATGAAGCTTCCTGAACAAACCAAGATTTTGCCCTGCCAGTCAAAATCAGTAACTTATTAATGGAGATATTATGGTAAGAAAATATTGGTGGTGGTCTCTGAGTTTGATTAAATAGTGTCTTTGGTATTGTCTAGAATCAGATAATAAAGTTTTTTTTTTTTTTTCATTTCATGTGTGAACTTCTGTAATTAAGTTAACTACAGAATGCAGAGTATAAAAAAGAGACCTCAGCCCACACTAGCAGTTTGAGTAGAGGACATGGCACATGTCAGGAGTGTTTCCAAAGATCAGGTTATGAAAAATTAGTTACCAGACAAAGCAGGAAAGGGCATTCAACATGGAGGGAAAAGCACATGGGAAAAGCATGAGAATTATATAGATTAAAAATGTTGTGATTAGTACTTAGCTCATTGAATTTTCATAGAATAGTAACTACTGTTCTTCTGTTTACTTGAAGCTTGGGATTTTGTTTAAAACTCAGATTCCCTTCGCCTAAAATAATAGCAGAGTATGTTTTGTATTGTATGTAAGTATTAAAAAAAATTTTTTTGGCAGTTAACATTTCCTTATTTATATAAAAAGATGGTTAATATTATGATTATTGTACCTACTTGAAACTTCATATCACTTAATATTCTGATTTTGATGATTTATTCTTGAAGAATCTTTGTCTTGATTTTAATAAAGCCTAGGTAATTCTTTTTAAGTATGTGAACAGATATAGTTGTGAGAGCATTTGTTGGTATCTACATAGCACCAATTTATAAAATTAAATACATCTGTCTCAGTCTCTGCACTGCAGTATTTTAGAGTAAACTGATAATCTATACCAGGGGTTAATAAACTACAGACAGTGGTCAAATCTCACTTGGCGCCTGTTTTTGTAAATAAAGTTTTATTGAAAAGCTTAATGCTCGTTTGTTCTGTGTTGTCTATTTCTATTTTCCCACTGTCATTGCAGAGTTGTGTAATTGTGGCAGTGAAGTATGGTCTTTAAAGCCTGAAATGTTTACTCTCTGGCTCTAAAGAATTTCTTACCCCTAATCTATGTAATATACAAAGGACAAAGAAACAAACAACTGTTAAAAATAACACATAAATAGCACTTGTTTTCTATAAACTTGTTTTATGTGGTGGAAAACATGGGTCAGCATAGATTCATTAGTAGGTCTTGGAGAAGGTGACATTTTGAGAACTTGCTGGATAAACGGTTGACTGAAGGGAGAATGCTTGATAAACTAAAGGCAAGAGAGTGGTCCAGCATCAGCTTCAAATAATTTGATAACCTGAGAAATAATCAGCTTTGTTAGGATCAGCTTTCTTAGATTGTCTTCTGTTGTATACATTTAAAAAGATTAATGTCTTAAGTGTACATGCATTGAATAATATTTGAACATAATCTCACTGCATTGCATGCATTATTTGAAACTACTGGGTTAAAAGAAAATTGTATTTTGGTCCTAAGAAGAATAGTTTCTTGGGTTAATTTCATCTAGACTATTATTGGCCTCCTTGATAAATGGATTGCCTGGCAAACACTGCTCTTCCCATTTGACCAAATCTTGCACTCTCTCATATTTTGGAGGATGTTTTCTGTTTGGTTTAAAAAAAAAATCTCTGTTCACTTCATCACTTACACCCACATCACCCATTTTGTTTGATTCATTCTGTAATGAGCCCTGAAAGAGATAAATGCTATCATAATTTTTAGAGTTAAAAAAAATTTCCATGTGAATTTCATTAACTTTCTTTTTATGATTTTCTTATTTTGTTTAACAGTATGGACAAATCTAAAATAATTCCCCCTGGGAAATATTCTTATACAATATAAAAATGTAGTGTTTTTGCCACACAGTGATAGATTATATTGTCAATAATATAGCACTTTAAAAATAATAATATAGCACTTTAACTCTCATTGATAGTAACATTTTAGAAAACTAATTCTCAAGTTTTTTATTTCTGTTTAAAATTAAGTGAGTTAGATGATTAATAGATTATTGAAATGATAACTGTAAGTTGATAAAAAAATAACCAACAAGGGATTCGACAGTATAATTTTCTCTTTGATGAGTGTCAGATGAAGAAATTAGAAAAAAATAAGATACTAGCATAACATTTATAAATGTGAATTTTCCCTTTCCTGATGAAGAGTTGCCCCTTTGGAAAGCATTATAATCT